CAAAAAGTATTTCACTAGCTTTTTGAAAATATGTGTAAACTCTCTTTGATGCAAAAATAAAAACTTTTTCTGAACTTTTTTAATAATTCTATAATAGCTGTTTAAAAATAACTAACATTGAAATTTCGGTAAAAACTAAGTCTTCGTTTGACTTTGTAGAAGTAATTTTATAATGTTATTCTTGATTTTCAATTATCTTTTAAATTGATGTAGAATCTTAGCTATAAATCTCAAATTCATTTACTTACAGCTAGAAAAACTTCCCACTTGATACATGAAATCAACACTCCATACTATAATTATACTCCATAAAAAAATGAATATTAGAAAACAAAACATTTTTACAGACAAAAAAATTATCACAATCACACGAATATTTATCGAGGTTAATCCAAGTGATCAATATATTTAAGTGAAATAAGTATACGTAAAGGAAATTAAGCTTAAAGCTATTATCAAAAGTGCTTATCAGTTTAATCGATGAGATCAAATTGATTTTGTTACTATTTTCTGGTTTTAATCGGTCTTACTTGTGATTCATTTTCAGTTTAATATCATCTTTTAATTTCCTTTTTTTCACTTAAATACTAGTTTGTGTCCCAGTGTCCCATAAGATGGTAATTTATTGTTGACAACGTTTCTAAGAATTTTTAAGTTATGAAAATACTTTACTTACCTTATTCATTTCTATATCCAAAAGAAGGTGAAAAAAAAACTATATATCAAGGAAATATTCCAATTAGCATTTACAAAAGAAAAGATTTTACACACAATCTATTTTCTTTCCATACCTCATATTTAAACTTTAACGCCATTATATAGGGATTAATTATAAATGTAACATACTATTTGATTAAAAACTTCATTCATTTTAGAAATTCATAAACGGGAAATAAGCTCTCGAAAACAAACGCCCTTTTTCAAGGCTTGCCAGACGTGAATGAGAAAAAACAAAAGTGAGTTTAAATAGTTATATGACGATGATGAATGATGTTGCTCGACGAATGACATGTCGACTGTTATTTCTTATTTGTATATTTTTGAAGAGAATTAAGTTTTTAATCTAGTTGTTACTTCTCATTCATCTCAGGTAAGTCATTTCGTTTGAAACATGTCGACTGTTATTTCTTATTTATATATTTTTGAAGCGAATGAAGTTTTTAATCTAGTTGTTACTTCTCATTCATGTCAGGTAAGTCATTTCGTTTGAAACATGTCGACTGTAATTTCTTATTTATAAATTTTTGAAGCGAATGAAGTTTTTAATCTAGTTGTTACTTCTCATACATGTCAGGTAAGTCATTTCGTTTGAAACATGTCGACTGTTATTTCTTATTTATATATTTTTGAAGCGAATGACGTTTTTAATCTAGTTGTTACTTCTCATTCATGTCAGGTAAGTCATTTCGTTTGAAACATGTCGACTGTTATTTCTTATTTATATATTTTTGAAGCGAATGAAGTTTTTAAT